GGGGGGTTAAGCTAGGGCTTTGCCGTGTTCTTTTGGCCATCCTGTTCTTTTTTCTTTTTTTTTTTCTTGGTCCGCATTTCACGACATTTGACTGTAGTCGTTGAGGAGCGTAGGTTCACCCACTCATCCGACGAACGACATGCATTCATTTGTTTCTTACTCATGCTTTTGCTATCATTTTGTGGGCAAATGAGCTTATGAGCATGAATGGAGGGATTGATGGATAACTCGGTGGGTACGAAGAGAATGGTAGGGCAGAGGGGGGGGCATTGTTGAGAGAAAGGGAAGGGCATCCAGGAAAGTCCTTTTGTTTCCCCCTTTTTTTCCTTTCGTAAGACCAGCCTCTCCTGCTCTGTCTTAAGACTCTGAACCCAGAAACAACGCACGTACCTTGTATTCAAGTTACCTCTGAAAAATGGGTTCTGAGAAATTGCTGTTACAGCCAAAAACACCCACTAAACAAAGAAAGGTCTGTCACAGCCAAAAATACACTCCAGACACGCCGCTGGCACTAGAGGTACAGCATGGCCGTGGTTTGACAGCCCCGGCCACTGCCGCTCGACCTGACCGGATAAAACTGTGCAAGGGTGCTAGCGAAGTCGTGGTATATATCGTCAAACAGAGCTGCGCTGTAAACCGTAGGCAGAGAGGGAGCAGAGGACAACAAACGAGGGGCTGTGACAAGGTGCCCGGTAAACCGTAGGCAGAGAGGGAGAAGAGGACAACAAACAAGGGGCTGTGACAAACTGTTTCGTCGGAGTTTCACTGACTCATATATGACGATATATATAAATATATTTTCCCCACGCCTTAGGAAAGTTGCACCCCAAAATCCGTTCTACAAGGTACGTACCTTGGATACAAGGTACGTATATTGTTGGGCTACGACGTTAGCGGGGGTGGTATGAGCATTCTCCCCTAGTAGGACTGGTGGTTGCTCCGTTCTGTTGGTGGGGAGCTGCACCTGCTGGAATAACGGGTCCAGCATCCCAATTACAGAGTCCAGTGTGAGTATTCCGTTAAGACGGGAAAGGGGAAGAGTCTGAAGGTGTTTTTCATTGACTTGGCGTTTGCTTTTGTGTCCTTACATCCTTTAATGGTGGGGTTGTTTACTGTCTGTTGGTGGTCTTCTGGTCTGGACCTGAAAGCCACATCTGGGTCTGCAATCGGCCCTGGCGGTATACAGAGGAGTGGAACGCCATCCTTGGGGGGTGGTGCCCGTGCCAGAGACGCCTTGTGGCAGCGGTTACAAGCGTGCACTGACAAGATTTGTTCCATCATCCTTGCAGTGTGGAACCTACAGGTAATCCTACATTTGCGAGTGGGGACACGGTGGTGAGAGGAGGGTGGGGGCCTCAAGATGAATCGTGCTGAGCTTTTTTTTTTTTAACACCATAATCTCCCAAGTGGAGGAGGGAGAGGGTTATTATTGGAAGTCCCTTTTTTTTTTTTTTTTTTGAAAAATGTTCCCATTTTGGGATGTAACCTAGGCTACCAGAGTTGGCCCGGGGTCACTTGCCCGGCCGGGCCAAAGAAAAATAATTAAATTCGGTGAAGAATTTCTGAAGGATTTTTTTTTTTTTTTTTTTTTTTTTTTTTTTTTTTTTTTTTTTTTTTTTTTTGGACCTTCGCTGGTCCTTGCACGGGCTGGCCACCCGGGACCCGGGTGGCCCGGCTGGTTCCCTAGGATGTAACCTTGTACCACCAGAAGCTCTTTTGTCGAGCGTAATTGAACAACAGACCCTGGACCGCTTATTCTGAAACAGCAGGTGTACCGGATGGCAGGGAATTTGATCGACATTTGCGTTCGATTTGGCACAAATATTTGTGTACCGGATGGCAGGGAATTTGATCGACATTTGCGTTCGATTTGGCACAAATATTTGGTTCTTCCCTGATGCGGTGGATCCCGTTTTTTTTTTTCAGGGGACTTCTTGTGCGCAGAGATGAGAATTAAAAATGCCCGAAGTTGGGATACTTTGTGTACCCTCTGGACCCCTTCGGGGTCCAGTAGGCCAAGCCTTCCATTTTGCCGGACGTGTACACCCTACCCCAGTATCAGCTCTGATTCATGCAGCTCCTATGGTAACAGCAGGTGTTTTCATGATCATGGCAAGGTGTTCTCCCTTATTTGAATACGCACCGAAGGCTTTCATTGTGATTAATTTTGGGGGAGCTATGACATCCTTTTTTAAGCGGCAACTACTACAGGAATTTTACAAAATGAGTTAAAACTTAAAAAGCGCTAGCACCTCCGCCAGTGCTGGGAAAATAGGGAAAATTGGCAGTTTTCCGGAACTCCTGAAAAAACGGAGGCCGCGCCCGACGACGGTCCGCCATTGAGCAGAGCGGTGGTTCTGCTGTTCAGACCGTCTAGATTCTCGTATTTGGATGTCTCCTTTCACCTTCTCGATTCGTATCCGGCCCATCATGTCCTGCATCCTCTCTCCTTTCGCCCTTCACCAGCATTGGCCTGGTGTCTGCATCTGGATGTGACCCACTGTCTGTATCTGGTCGTATTGCTTGCAAGTAAGAGTGAGAACTGTTACTGTTAACCCTGGCACGCTGATGCGCTGGTGCTCAGAACCTAGTCGCTCTCAGATATCGCCGAGTCAGTAACTTGGAATGTGTACTCACACTCATGTGACCCACTTTCTGGATCTGGTTCATATTGCTTGCAAATGTGAGTGAGAATCGGAAACTCTGGCACACTGATGCGTTGTTGGAACTCAGAATCTACTCACACTCAGATTTCGCTGAGTCAGTAACTTAAAACCGGACTGACGCTCCCCAGAATGGATATGGAGCCAGGACCATAAGGACCTGTTTCAAATTTCAACTAAAAAAAAAAATTCAGACTTTGCCGAGTCCGTCTGCTGATCAACTGCAATTGCGTACATTGAATAAAGCGCAAGTTGGATTATGTGCACTAAATGGAACTGCCTTAAAATGGCGGGAAACAGAGGAATGAGCAATTATGGATTGATTTCGTCCTACAACGTGTTCGATGAACGCAGTTTAATAATGGGCGTTAATTATTGACGTCGACTGTTTTGTCCCTGTTTTTCGTGTTTGGATCCCCTGATCTAGATTGCGATTGCGCTTCTAGTATCGGCCACTTTTTTATCATTTGCATGCGCACGACGATAATGTGTGGCGGTTGTTGTTGGGCGTGTGCAGCGGGTCATGGTGAAAAAGAGAGATCCTATTACTCATGTATGCTTCATTCAGGAAGTTGTCCAGGTACGCTGTGTCCACCTCCCTCCTCCATGTTGAAAAGGAGAGATCCAACGACTCCTGTAGTCCGTTTCTCTGTGTATAGTTGCATGCGTGCCTGCTTTACATTTTTTTCTTCTAAATGTTGGTGAAACATAAAGAGAAAAAAAAAAAAACATCAAAGCACACACACTTGCATGCATGGAACTTTTGCTCTGCTTTCGGTGCTCTGTACGTATGTTTCAGTTTTGGACTTTCTGTTCGATTGACCTACCTTCTTCCACCGAATACAACTAAAAGGGCCTTTACGAATTAGTACATTAGTAGGGATAGTTAGTAGAAGTGTTCAGTAAGTAGTATTCAAAGTAGATCCTCGTGTGATAGGGAGTGTGCATGCATGATGAGTGGGAGTAGACCAGGACAATAGACATAGAGGGAGAGAGAGAAGAAGGCAGACGAGAGAGGGGGAAGTGTGAGCTATGGTGACACTTACCTGTTGAGCGCTGTTGTTGACGTTTGGCAGCTGGCACTGATGAGCGCCAGGCTTGGAACTCATGTTGATCGAAGAAGACTTGTAACTCTGTTCAGCGCTATACATTTTGGACTCACGAAATTCCTTTCTTACTCTGGTTATGATACTTGAGTTGAGCTTCCTGGTTCTCATTTCATCTTCTATTGGGTTTTGTGTGAGACATCGCAATCTGTGAAATCTGTGTATATGCATGTGATGATTATGATCTGATGCACTCCAGCAAGTGATGAACAGTCGGGTTCCTTGCACAACGCACAGTGAGTAGAGCTGTATTTAGACTGAATGGTACCCCAAATAGAGCTATAATGACTGCACGTTGTATTCGGGGGAAGAAGGTAGTTCCAAGAAGGACCTGGCTCCATGGGAAGATGTCCAGGGACCTCGCACATCTACAGTTTTTTACCGGCCACCAAAAGTGCCAAATGGTGGGATCCTGCTAGATCAGGCTAAGGGGACAAAAAAAAAAAAAAAGGCTAAGAAATTATGTTGGCTTACTAGAGTAGGAAAATTACACTTTGTTACTTTCCATTGTTTCCAATTTGAGTAAGAAATGATGTTGGCTTACTAGAGTGGGAAAATTACGCTTTGGTACTTTCCATTGACAAAGAAAGGGAACGTTTTTTTTTCTGTGGGAATTACTCCCACGCAGGACCTGCTAGAGAGGGTGGTATGGTGAGCACCTGCCCCTAGCAGACCCCTCACTGGATGCTCCGGTCTATTGGTGGGGAGGAGCACCTGCTGGAAACCGGGTCCAGCGTCCCATTATATAATTGGTTCATAAATCCATCCTGGGCCCTTTCATTTTTGTTGAGGGAAGAAAATGGTGAGTGCAGATGTGAAGACTGAGTATTCAGTACTACCTTTACCTTTTGCTTGTGTACTTGACTTTTTCTTTTCTTTTTTTTTTCCCTTTTTTTTTAAGAAAGGTTCTCTACCTTTTTCTTGTGTACTTCGCTTTCTTTCTTTTCTTATTTTTTTTAACAAAAAAGCAAAGCCCCTTCTATTCTGGGGGCCAACAATCCGGTTGCTTATCACCAGCAAACAAGTTTTTTACATCCAACAGATAGAGAGAGGGGGGGGGGGGGGGGGGGAGGAAAAAAAAAAGTAACAGAAACAGCCCATCCTTTGTGGTTGTTGTACTATGACCTTTTTTTTTTTTTTGGTTTTGTTTATTAAGAAGCAAACTGAATCTGAATGATACTACCGTTGGGTATCGAGATTCTGCATGCTTACCTGTTTTGGCTTCTTTCCATTCTGGGCTTATCCATTTTGAATCTTTCGGATTCTTGGTGTCAAGAGTTGCCATCTGTGCTCTCTGGCTCCTAAGATCCATTATTGATTTTTCTACCCTTCACTCTGTTTTTTTGGTGGACTGGGATGTTGTGATTGATGCAGCCTGGAGATGTAATGATCACAGATAGGGTGTGGGAGGTCACCTCCAAAATCTTGTCCAATCAGTTCAAATCTGCATTCACAGGTATGGTTAGCAATTTAGCATTATTAAGTTAAATTCATTACTGACTGACCTAGGCTGTTTATCCGTGCGCTCGGGCAGGAATTTTGTGCGCGGACATACGCCCAATCGCCCCACCATGCAGAATGGTCGGGTGGGGTCCTGGGCGCACCGAGCGCAAAGAAATCAATGTAAGTATAAAAAAAAACGATTTTTTCTCAAAAAATATGGAAAAAACTGTTGTATAGAATTGCACTGCAAAGTTTATGCTGAGGGTCATCTCAGAATTCCTTACAGGAAAAAAAAAAAAAAAAACAATCAAACTGAGGCAACCCCTTCAAATCCCCTTGAAAGTTGAAGCCCCATTTATTCTCCCCATCGCCCTGGTCAACGAAGAACACTGAAAAACAAAAAAGAGCTTGGGTTGGGTGGGCATAGAAAAGCCGCAGCGACGAGGAAAACAAAAATCCCCGGAGTTTCTTCATGCCCGGGGAACCGCGGGCAGTCACATGGATGGTGTTACGGACTTCGCCAGGGCTCGATCCCTGGTCTATCTTTTGCTGTTTCGGCTGCATCCCGTTTTCGGCCTGGCACCCTTTTTCCAAACCCCTCCTTT